TGCGAGGATTATAGATGACGTTAAATAAAACCTGCCAGCCTTTAAGTCAGCAATTTAGTTACTCAATCAAAACCTATCCCCTTTAATCAGACTCACTGTGAAATCTCTCCATACAATTAGTTTCTTTCATAAATCGTTTGAACATTTTCGCATTTTTCAGAAAGTAGATAAAACTTTCTTTCTCAGAATTTTAACTTTTTTCCTTTTATTGTGTCCAAGATTTTCAAACACCACAAAAGTTCCACAGAAATCAGAAGCTTTCAGTTACTACTGAGCTGGATCCATTTTCTCCACGATATCAGGGGACTGATAATTAAACCATGATTAATGAAAAAAAACGTCAACTGTGATATCACGGATCAGCGGATCATCATTACTACTCAAGTTTCTCATTACATCTGATCCTGAATACACACAAAAGATATGTAATCAGCCAATAATCTACTCAAGAACAGTCAAATGTGGAGCACCCTTATCTCATTAGGCTGTCACCTTGATGTGAATGACTTCATTAGTCCTGAATGCTACTAAACCATTTAGCTAAAATGAGTGTGAGTAAACCTTTTAGCACTGCTGGTAGCTAAATACTCTAATACAGCAGGGATGTAATCTTTTGTTTAACATAAGGAGTGCCTTAAATAGCAAGTGGGGTGATGCTGGGCCGAACATGCGATTCGGGCATTTCCAGATTTGTAACAAAATGTAAAAACTCTTTCAGTTTGGGTTTGTGTCATCTTAGAGTTGCTGTGTAAGGATTCAGTGCTACGGTACTTTAAAAAGTCCCAGTCTAGCCAGGTCAGAGGTAAAGAGTCTTCTGCCCTTGTAATCAGACTGTTTAAGCCAACAGGCGTCAGTGTCTGGCCTCAGGAAGAGCAGAATTAAAGATTAGAGGGTCTCGGGGCAATGTTGTTGCCATACCTCTTTCCCATGATTCTCCTTGTTGGTTTGCGTTTGTTCTTATTTCCTCTCCTCCCCGACTCCTTTAGATATCTTTCTAGAATGTAACTAGCCAGTCTCTGTGCTATCGTTATGCTTTCTTTTTTCTCTCTAACCACTTTGTTGCTTATTCATGCCATGCATGGCAGCGTATTTATCCAAGATAACAGCCGGGTTTCCCCTCAGTTTGTGGGTGATGGAGGATAATTGCTGTTAGTGTGTGTGTTTGTCTCTCTCTCTCTCTCTCTCTCTCTCTCTCTCTCTCTTTCTCCCTCTTGTGTGTTTGTGTTTGTGTGTGTGTGTCTGTGTGTCCCCACAGACTACATAAGTAAATTGTTCCTGGCTGCTCTGAACACAGCTACTGTTTGGACAGGAACAGAAAAACAGTGTGTGTTTATGGTCATGTGTGCGCCTCTAAATGAGAAAATGACAGTGATTGTGAAACATATTTTGTCTCAAGCCTGATTGCACTCATTAGCATAGAAGAAATGTTTTCAGAGGATCAGGTTTCGATATGATCTTGAAAATCTATGTGTAACATATCCCCCATAGCCTGTCGATCAAAGATGAACTTCAGTATTCTTTTGGCACATGTCATTCTCCGAATTCTTGGATTTTATTTCACACAAAATTAACAATAATAGTTCTTTTTTAAAAACACATCTACATTGGTCTTTTACTTACTGTTGAAACTTTATCCTTTGCAGCTATCAACTTGTTGTTGTTCTTGTTCTTGTTGTTAAATATTTTACTTGTGGCATTAAACAGCTGTTCAGAGTTATTGCAACCATGGATGCATCAGTTTATTCAAGACAACTGTATCGACTGACATTTTAACTAACTGTGACAATTTAGCTCAAACACAGTTCCTTTAGTTATTGCAGATCATTAACAATGGAGCCAATCACTTCATTAACCATGGAGCTACTTTCAGTGAGTTACTTCCACTGTCAATTTAGTGAAACTACTCCTAGCGAGAACTGTGGTTTCTTTACTGGACTATCTACATTTTTGCTTGTTAGCAGTTAGCATAATTTGTTATCAACTCGATCTACATTTTTACCCAAACTGAGAGCCAACAGTTGCTATGTTTGTCTGTTTTAATGCTGTTCCTTGCTTGCTAACTAATTTTAAAAGATATAGCTTATAGTCAGGACTGGAACAAGTGAGTCTGAACTAGCTGCAATAGGTTTAGGCTGCTGGGTGGCTTTATGATGCACTGAGCACTTAACCCATTATCATTCCCATGCTTTTTTACACCACTACTGCATTAATCATTACTAATTATCCAACTCTGGCTGTCTTCCATAATGTGTCATCCCCCAACCCCCCGTCATGGTTCTGCTGGAATTTCATCCTGATAAAAGGGAGTTTTTCCTTCCCACTTTGACCATGTGCTTTCTCACAGCGATTTATATGATGTTGAGGTTTTCCCTCTAATTTTCTATTTTGACAATATCTATCTTACAATATTGAGCACCTTGAGGCGACTGTTGATGTGAATTGGCACTAAATGAACAAAACTAAATTAAAATAGTCTGTTATGTGTATTTAAAGGATGCACACCCACAGCACCACACCACAACAAAATAAAACACTTTTCTAAATGACAACAAACAAAATGAGATATCCATCTTTTAGCAATGTTTTTAAATCAAGTAACATGACAAACCAGACACAAACCAAGAAGGAAAAAAGGACAGCTTTGGACTTAATTAGAAACGCAAACAGCTGACAGTGAAATAGCTTTTTGTGTTTTCATGTTTGTGCATCCAGGTTAAGATCTGTCTGTCTGCTCAACTGTAATCTTAAGTAATTGTGTTTAGAAAGCACTCAAACTGAAAGACTTCCTCCCTTTTAAAAACCGTGACAAAAGAGAAACCTGAGCCCAGGGCAGTTCTTTATCTCTATCTGTCTTTCTAGTCTCTGTTACTTGTATTTTTCATGACGTGACTGTAATAAGGTCTTTGACGACCCAAGGTAAATCGCTGATTTTTGCACATCGTGTGGGTTTTTTTTATTATTGTTTTTCCTAAGCAAGATTCAGCAGAATTCAGTGTGTTAGTGTTATGGGCAAATTCAGTTATATTAATCAGCTATAAACCTCTAAACATATATCATAATCCCACAAAACACAAAGTAAAGCAGACATACTTTTCTTTTCCAGCATAGGAACATAGTAAGTGGTTTAAAATGCAACAGGCCCAGAGCACCTCAACACGTCTGTATGCTTTCAAGCATCTGAAGGTGACTGAGAGTGAAAGCAAGGGAAGCAAGTGTGAAGTTTTTCCTCAGGAAACAGAGTCCATTTCCACTTGGCTCACAGACAGAACCGGAATTTGTTTTGCGTAAGCTCAGCAGGTCAAAAATAAAAGAGTATAAAAGCAGAGTGCTGCAGGACGCCGCCTGTGCAGGAGCGGGGAGAGGTGGAACAAAAGTAACGCTGCTTTGTGTGGCTTAGCTGCAATTTACGAATTTACAGAAACTAAACCCAATATCTGCGATACGGGCAAGTGAAATGTTGTGCTGCGATATCAGTTATCTGTAAGAATATTAGACTACTGTTATCTTAACATCAAATCATGTAATGTAATCTATGCATACAGTCTGTATTTATGAGTGTCTCCACACATACTGACATACTGTAACGGACGCATGCAGCCACTGAACATACTGCTGTACCTTCTTCTTTCTGTGCGTTTCTTCTTTAAATACTGAGTAAATTTCATTGGCTTTGTATCAGTTCTCTGCTCAGTGACAACAAAACTGAATACAAAAATGTAAAAACATTTTTTTAAACATTTTTTTTAAATTTTTTAAACATTTTTCAGTAGACAAGAACTCCTTTTCTATATATCTGCAGAGCAAACTAAAGGTTTGAAAAGTGAATTCATCCTCCCACTCCAGAGGGAAAGGGATATAATGTGTGTATATCGTTTGTAATCTGTATCTCAACATTATTTTAGAAAGTACGCAATTAGTTTGCCATGGAATGTTACTCTAATGGGGTGATAACAGGCATGCAAAAAGACAAAGACAAATGGTGGTTGGAGGGGGGGTCATTATTCATGGATCTGTTTTCAGTTTTTTGTTTTTTGCTTTTCCCACCACGAAACCCAGTCAACGTGTGCATTATCATAAGAATGACTGCAGGGTGCCGCACCGTGCCCTTTTGCGGGGGAAGACCGTTTCGAAATATGTAGCCCTTTGTTTACCATCAGATTGTTCGGACTGGCCTCGGCAATGAGCAGCTTCACACGCAGAGATCAAAGTAGGACAAATAAGTATGTCAGAGATTGGAAAGAAACTGGTAAGATGCCAGATTTGCAGAGTTTAAAGGCACTCAATGTTTTGTTCTCGATTTCAACAATATCAGTTATATAACACACAAACACATTACTTTAATCACTTCATTGTACTGAAGGGCACCTCAGCAAAGCATATATGACAAATATATCTTGGAATATTTGATACACAGAGTTAAAATTCCATAAGCTGCCCTCTGTAGCTTCCTCACGGGAAATGTTCGGCTTCCCTGGGAGATATACTAGATTTACTGCTGTAGAGGTGAACTCGATGCTTTTCCACGCGTTTATGTTATGTTCAGGCATGAAAGTCATCGCAGAAAGCTGAAGAATAAATAAATAAATAACCTACAAGCACAGTGAGAAAGGTTAGTTTTATTGTTATTAAGCCTCGTCATTATTTACCAGCATATTTGTGGTGAGTGAAAACAAACCAACATATTCACCACATTAAATCAAAATTTATAAAATCCAGTCAATCCAGTCAATTCAATCAAAATAATTATTTTATTTAAGTTTTCATTCATCTTATTTGTTTTCCTCTTTCTGTTTTACATTTATAGCAGCGGTTACCTGATACGAACCCGTGCTTGGTTTAACCTGTTTGCACTATTTGCTGTGTGAATGTGCAGGTGATGGGGGAGGTGTGTACGCGTGTGCGCGCAAGAGGAGGGGTTAACCCACACTTCCGTATGCTCGGCCGTAGACCCCTATAAAAAGTCCATCAGTCGGGCTGTTACTCATATCCTGAATCCTGGTTTCACTCAGAGAGCACACGGACGCGGAGGACAGCATCTGCAGGATTTCGGCGTTTTGAACTGTTTTTTAAAAAACGGTCAACATGGCTGTGGCTGAAGCAGTGATGCCTGCCTTAATCTCGTTTCCGAGTCTCAAAGGACTGGATAATGTAAGTAGAGAACATTTAAGTATGGAACATTGTCGTAACTCTAGTGTGTTATCATAATATGTTTGTAGATCTATTTCTCACTGTTGACCGACGATGCAGCTTGGCTTTCTTCTAACTTTTTTTTAATTTTGTGCTCCTTTACATATTTAAAAGGTGGATGGGGGTGTGCAGAACAGCGCAACAAGTGACGCAAATAACCCGCCGTGGGAAGTGGAGTTCAACATGGTGCGTTCTCCTGCTTTACCCTCCAAAGATGACGACGAACTGGGAAGGTTTTTGGATCTCGATTTTATTTTGTCCAACACCATCGGCCGCGATGCTTTAAGCGACAGCGACGGCAATGGGAACATCCCACCAACGCAGCAGCAGCAGAACTGCATGTATTCTCTCCCGGATTCGCCGGAAAGCTGCAGCGGTGGTTCTGTGACAGAGTGCAGCGATCATCCTCCCTCTCACCTGGGCTGCCACGGGACTGCAAACGTCGCAAAGTCAAGCCCAGCTCATAGTCTTATGGTGGAGCTTCTCAGGCCTGAGATAGGTTACCCGGCTGATGCTTCACCGGACTGCGCAGGCAAGGAGAGAGATGACCGAGAATTCACCGAACTGCGAGCTTTGAATTCAGCCTCAATTCCATTGGCTCCCCTTCACCGCCCAGCTGCCACCACACCGATCCCGCTTGGATATACAATCAAAACCGAGTCTGGAGGTTCATCTTGCATGATGGCCGCCAGCGGTAAGAACTTTATGGAACACGTTCACGGGAAAAACCTAATGCAACCAGTAACCTTTACGCACCACCAGGCTGCATTTCATGGTGGGTTGCAGGCTCACGGCGCGCATCCCATGCAGCACGCTGCATCCCACGGACATATGGCACACTACCACTTAAACGCGCAAATGAGCTCTCACCATCCCAGTAATCAAAGCCATCTCCAGGGTCAATATATGAACGCGCCATATCACTCGATTTACGCACACCAGGGTGTGCAATCGTTTCAGGGACACTACAACGCGCAGAGGGAGCAGGTCCACGTTCACCAGCAGCAACAGCAGCAGCATCCACTGTCGATGCAGGGGATGGTGCTCACTCCTCCCTCTTCTCCTTCTTCGGTTCTGCTCGAGTTTTACTCGCAGGATGAGACCGGGTGCATGAAGCAGAAACGAGCCCGCAGGTCGTGGGCTAGAAAACGCGCTGCCACGCACAACTGCGAGTTCCCCGGCTGTGGAAAGACCTACACAAAGAGCTCCCATCTCAAAGCGCACATGAGAACACACACAGGTGAGAATCTAAAATCTAATATCCTTTTTGTTTTCTTCTGCTTTTGTTTGTTTGTTTGTTTTGTGAGCATGTCATATAATATATGTTAATATGATTCTGTTTGCATCTTTCAGGTGAGAAGCCCTACCACTGTAACTGGGAAGGATGCGGCTGGAAGTTCGCCAGATCAGACGAATTGACCCGCCACTTCAGAAAGCACACTGGACACAGACCCTTCCAGTGCCACCTCTGCGAACGTGCCTTCTCCCGCTCAGACCACCTGGCTCTCCACATGAAGAGGCACATGTAGGCCACAGTTCTTTTGGACTCTTGCATCCATAAGAATCCACCCCTCAGAAGAGGACCGACTTGGTTTCTCCCTGCTGGACTGTCCAAAATCAGTGTAGCATGAACTGTTTCCCCCAGACAGACAGTTGCAGTTGTCCTCTTCCACTCCACTCTTATTTTTTTTATTACCACTTGTATAATATACTGCTAAATTAAGTGCCTCTGGTGGTTACTGTACATACAGAATCTGTGCATACATGTATAACACTGCCTAAATTCTAGTTCAGT